CCTTGTGATTTTTCCTTAGTTGCCGAGAGACTGACAAAAATGGGTAAGCATACTGTGAACCTGGATGGAACCACAGCAGATGTGAAAGTGGTGCCTTTCACAGTTGGAATGGGAGTCAAATTTGAGGTATTCAACTGAAATGCGAAATTATATAAAGATACACACTTGCAGTACTTAAAAAGCTTTAAGTTTGGTTTTGTGTGTGTTCTCAATCACAAAATACACACAAATTATTTCCTTAGCTCCACGTCACAATTTCTGGAAAGAAGATCAACGTTTCAGACATCCCTGAGCTACCGATTCCTGATGAGTGGATGAGAGACAAATTAGAGCTGAATTTCTACAAATCTGAACATGGAGGAGGAGAAGTAGAAAATGTAAAATATGACAAGAGGTCCAGAACAGCTGTTATTACGTTCACTAGACCTGGAGGTATTGTCTGCAATGTTTTGTTAGCTGGATATACAAGCCATGTTGTCCATTCCCTTATGTTCTGAGTTAACTTAACCAGTGAATGCAGCTAATTCTTCCCCAAGGAGAATTAAATAGATCAGGAAAAGATGTAGGTTCACCCACACATGTGTGAGCAAAGCAGTATTCATCACATTCCTTTTTGATCAAACGTGACTTGATATGCAGCTTGTCCTCTTTGTTTCTTTCTTAACTTTGTCAGAAATCCTTTTTTGCTTTGGATTGCTAGACACTTATCTTGTGAAAATAAGGAAAACATGTTTGATTTTTAGCTCTTGTTCCATAGCAATGAACTGAGAGAAGCATTCAGATTGCCCAACTATAGGCATTCTGGTTTAAGTGCATGAAAATCTACAGAGATTAGTGGAGCCACATCTATTTAGAACAGCTGCTTTAGATTTATTTCAGAAGCTTTTGTGGGTATTTACTGATTTTGTTTTTTGGAAATGCCAAATAAAGGTTTGTTTTGTTTTGTTTTCAAATTGCACATGAAGAACCTGCAAATGCACTATCATATGTTTATTTCTAAATCCAAGTGAGAAAGGTTAGTCTGCTCTTTGATGTGTGTACAGAATGCATTTTAGGTTCTGTTACTGTTCTTTTTCTCATTCTCCCTTGCAGCAGTGGCCAGCATTGTGAGATGTGCTAAACATCCTTTCTATGTAAATGGAAGGTGCCATAGGATTTCTGTGTCCCCAAGCACTGATGGACACTTGGAAAAGCTTCAGGTAAAATACTCTAGTTCAGGATACTCCATAAGCAGATCAGATCCATAGGAAACACAAGAAATGGGCAGAACTTTTAGTCCTGAGGACTGCCTAAGTTTTCTATACTAAGTTTCACAAACTGAGTACCAGTGTGACTCTGCAACATGCTGGTAGTCTTATATTTTGTACTGTGAAAAAAAAAAGATTTAAAAATGGTGTGCATACCTTATGTTGACCAGATTATATCATTACATACCATAACACCTGTGCCAGGTGGGAGGCAGACACAGAACAGTTTGTGAAGCAGGTTACCAGGAGCACAGCAATATGCTTCCATGGCACAGAGCACTGTCCTCTTCAGCCCTAATGAGAGGCCGTGTTGATCATCTCAGCAGAGCGCCTTGTTGTTCTGTGGAACAGTTGCTGATTCATTTTTTCACACAGTCGTTTGACCCAAATAATAACTTGCTTTCCTGTGGTGCTTGTCTGCTTGCTCACGATACTCTCACTGAAATTGTCTTTGGCTTTGTATGAGTAGCTTGTAATCAAGTCAGTGCTGTGTGTATAATCAGGCCTTTATAATTAAAGCATTGACTAGAGAGAGTGCATTTATGAGATAGCATTCTTGGCGGGTGCAGTGTGTGATGGGGTTCCAAACTCCTTTTATCTTCAGTTGTAGATGGTAGTGCATGCTCCAAAATCATAACATGTAACCAAAGATCCCGACGGATGCTTGTTTCCAGTATCTCAGGTCCTTTAGGTGTACCTGCAACAGCTGCTGTGTAATACAAGTTTGTTTCTCTTCCCTCGACAGCTCTTTTCTGGTATTTCTACAAAGACCATTCTACTGAAAGGAATTAAAGAGACTGAAGATGATGAGGAAAGTGTGCAGGATATGATTGAAATTCATTTCCAGAAGCCTAGTAATGGTGGTGGGGAAACAGAGAGTATCAAATATGTATCAAAAGGAGCTGTGTGGGTTTCTTTTGAAGAGGATGCTTAGAATGCCGTATAAAAAAAGTGTATCTCTCTCTCAGAAGTTCTGAGCTTTTGCTTCATCAGAGGGATAAGTTACACCAGTGGTTCTCATACAATTGTGCCTTAATGTTTAGAAATTGAAAATGAGGAACTACCTTTCTGATTTGTTTAATGGCATGAACTTTGAACAGAAATTCAGTAGAACTTAATGCTGAGTGTTCCAGCTGTTCCTGATGAAAGTCATGGAGAAAGCCTTCATCTGCACACGTAACTTAATCTATAATTGCTTCTTGCAAATTCACAGATTTTCTATCTTGTCCATTTTATATAGATTTACCCCACTTTAACCGATTCCATCTTCAGTTTTGTTACAGAAGCCACTCATAACCCAGTGTAAAGCACCTTCATGAATCCACAGATCTGGGGGTTTTATTGGTGTGTGCTGACATAACTCAAATACTTGAAAGCAACATTTATGTAATTGCATCAGATAAATATTGAGTTGGTGATAAAGCTACAACAGTAGTGATATGTATTTATATCCTACATATACATGCTGGTTGTGAAAGGAGAATGCAAAAATATCACTTATCAGATTTACTTGCAACCCATGAGAAAAGACACATCACTAATGCTGCTTTTAGCTGTCAAGGTGCTGGCCTTGATACTTCCTCCACCATCTAATCCAAATGGTTCTGAGCTTCTGATGAGTGAATAGTTTGTTATATGGTTTTTAACTTTTTTTTTCTACACTGGCATTTTTGTTTCTTTGTTTTTCCGATGTAACATCTCACAGTTGTGAAATCAGATGATTGTTTAAAACAAGTTGTTTTGGAGCTGAGCTGAAGAAACAAGGTGATGGTGCACGCAAGGCCTGAGGTATTTATTTAGTGGCTTGTGCTTGGCCAGGCTGCCAGCTCTGGGAGGTGATGCATTAGGGGGCATTTAGAAAAAGGCACAGAGGGTATAGGGAAAGTTTGTGGGGTTTTTTTTTTGCATGTAAACTTGCCCTTTTGCTTCCAGTTCTGACTCTGAAAGAGCTTTGGAATAAAACAGAAAGGCAAAAGCTGAGGATTTCTCCTCCATGATTGGGTGTTCGCTGCAATCCAATATTTGGCCTTCCAATATTGGAAGGGTGCGTATAAACAGGAGGGGGAACGGCTGTTTGTGAGGGTGGACAGTGATAGGACAAGGGGAATGGTTCTAAACTGAGACAGGGGAGGTTTAGGTTGGATATTAGGAGGAAGTTTTTCACACACAGGGTGGTGAGGCACTGGAACAGGTTGCCCAAGGAGGCTGTGGATGCCCCATCCCTGCAGGCATTCAAGGCCAGGCTGGATGTGGCTCTGGGCAGCCTGGGCTGCTGGTTGGTGACCCTGCACACAGCAGGGGGTTGGAACTGGGTGAGCGCTGTGCTCCTTTGCAACCCAGGCCGTTCCGTGGTTCTACCACACGTCAGGCGCTGCCTGCTGGGCGGCTGAGCGCGGGGCTGCAGCTCCGCTCGGCGTTCGGTGCGGGTAACGGCACGGAGCGCCGCTCGGCTGTGGGAGCGGGGAACGGCAGCGAGCGGGGGATCGCGAGGGTCTGCGCTCTCCCTGAACGGCGTCTGTCGGATAGGAAAGGAAAGAGGGGGAAAAGCTGGGTTCAGCCCGCCAGCGACTTCAACCCCGCTGAACGGCGAGCAGCGCAGCCTCAACGGAAAGGAAAGCGTTACCGTTGTGCCGTGGTGTCCCGGAGCGGGAGGAGCGAGAAGGCTCTCAAAAGCGAGAGCGATTTTAACAGAGCTCCCGAGGTTCGTGCAGCGTTCCGCTCCTCCCGGCGCTGAGTTCAGAGTTTCCACCTCACCGCCCACCCGCCGCTCCGCCCGTGTCCTCCCCAAGCCGAGCCCTCCCTCCGCTCCCGGCGTCCCCCGGCGGGCTCCGGGCCCGGCCCGGCCCTCACCTTTCGCTTTCGTTTCTCTCCGGCCGGGCCCTGCGATCGGCAGCCGAGACGCGGGCGGTGCTCCAGAAACCGTCCGCCCTCCGGACGGCGACGCCTCGGCAAGTGTGGGGCGCGGGGCCGGGGGGGGAGGTGGGGGGCGCAACATGGAGGCGGCAGCGCGGTCCGCCACCGCCGCGTTTGGCGGGAGAGCTGTGCGGCACCGCCGAGGGCCTGCCGAGCGTCTTGCCCTCAGGCGAGCCGCCGAGCTGCGCTGTGTGGATCCGGGCAGAACGTGCGCGACCTGAGGGCTCCGTGAGTGCCCGTGACCCGCACAGCGCAGAGCAGGGAGCCTTTGAGGGGCATGAAGGGTTGTAAGCTGAGAGAAGCCTGAAGAACGCGGGCTGAAGGACGGTCCTCGCGTGGTCGCTGCGGAGCTAGCAGCGAACGCTAACCGTGCGAACGGCATCGCAGAATGGCTCGGGTTGGAAGGGACGCCAAGGATCATCGAGTCCCAGGGTTGTGTTGGATCAACAAACGTGCTGAATTGTTTCCTTCCATCCTTTCCTTCATTCCAAGCCAACAAAGCATTGCAAAATCTCCTCAGAGTCCCATCGTTTGTGGCGTTTTTCTGTATTTTCACTGAAATAATACCGTTTATGTAGCAGGAATGGAAATAAAAGATGCTTTCCCTAACAAGGCATAGATGCAAATCCTATTTAGGATGGGTTTCGTGTTTGCAGCAATGGGAGGTCTGGCTCTGATGAAAATCATGTGTGTTGTTATTTTATGCACTGCAGGTTTCAGATGGCTGGGATTACGTTCTTCCAATTTAACAAGGTTGTCCTCTGAGTAAATGGAGAGAGCTGAGTCACAGCATAACCCTTCATCCCAGCTCTTGTGAATTTAACAAGTAAGGACTGTCTGAAGCTGACCTTGACGCTCTGAAAAGAGAGTCCTTGTTGAACAGTACGTGCAATTAACATTTTCCATTTCCTTCAAATCTTGCATATTAGAGCAAACAATCGTACCAGCCTAACACTGGGCCTTTCATTTGGGAAGCTGTTAAATGTAGTTCTAATTTTTACTGCTTTAACAAAAGGGGATAACGAGGGTGTGGAAGCGACACTTTTTAATTGCACTGTAATGTGAAGGTGCCTGAGGGAGTTGGCACTCATTGAAATCAGAATCTGACAAAGCAATCTATGAAAGGAACGGGTTGTCTGAACAAAAGGGAGCCAGTTCAGCAGCCGTGGTGGCTCTGGGTAACCTCTGTGCAGGTCACTGTTTTGACAGCATGCCATTTCTCTCTGCACAGGACATGGGACAGGCTGCTAAATCAGCAAGGACCATCGTCATCTCTGGTGTTCCAGATGGTGTTCTGAACGATGATGTCATGAGTGACATTCTGGTGATTCATTTCCAAAAGGCAAAGAATAATGGTGGAGATGTGGAAGAAGTGAAATATCCAACAAGGGAAAAAGGAGTTGCATATATAACTTTTGAAGATCAAGAAGGTATTCACACTAATAGAGCATAGGAAACGTTCTCCCAAAAATTAGCCGTAGAACATTTACTCTAAAACAAATGATTATAAATTCCTTACTGGCATTTAGTAAGGAAGGCATTTAGTTTAGTGCCTTTAGTCAGTCAGAGTTGTAGGATTTTATTTCTGTTCAGTGAAGGAATGACTCTGAAGAGACTTTGCACAAACTTTTGTTTGTTTCTAGAAACAAACTTAAACACTGCGCAACGTGATTTTTGGAGTCAGGCCTTTGGGAACAAATCTCTGACAATTATTGTTGCAAGGAGACAGGCTTCTGTCTCTCTGAACCATTTTGACTAATGCAAATATATTAGGCAAGAGAATTGGATCACCTGTGTGTATGTATGGAAATTTTAGGGAGAGCATCAAGAGGAAAACACCCACACAGTGATGTACTGTCAGACTGGCAATAAGACATTATCCTACTGCCAAACAAGTGAATCTGCTTTCTCTTTAGTTGTAGAGAGTGTTCTACAGAAGAATGAGCATCGACTAGAAGACAGGAGGCTGCCCAGATACTATCCTCTGAAAGTCACCCCTTACTGTGAAAATGTAAGTTCATCCTCAGTTTATCTAGTTGTGCTTCCTTAGCTATGTTAACCATTACCTAACTTCTCTAATTCACAATTCCAGGTCTTCAGCTCTGTCACAGCTGTCCTCGATATGTCTGTTTTCAAAGATAAATTTGTTTTGGAGGATCTAGTACAAGAACTTAAAGAGAAGAGCACAGCTTTGAGCTTTGGTTCTCTGCAATCCAATGGGCATATTTCTGTTCAAGGGTCATTTCCAACAATCAAATGGCTAAGAGACTTTCTTTTACTAAAAGCAAAATCCCTCTCGGAGGATGAAAATGAAGCAAGTAAGTCTCATCAGAGACCGAAGAAGAGGCTGAACAAACACACACTCACCAGAGAGGTGAATAATTTTGGTCACGATGCTGAAGGGGAAAAGCAAGTGGTTGTTCTTGACACGGATATATACCACTACATGAAGTGCTTCTTTGCCAAGGAACTCCTCACAAATACTGATGTTGTGATTTCTGACATCACTGATGGTGATATAACTACACTGCATCTTCAGAAAGGCAGAAGCAGGCCTGATAGCAGCCAAGTATTAAGAGTCAAGGAGAAAATTGAAAATCGGTCTATCCAACTTCTTAACAGTTTACGTAAAGAAAGGATCGGCTTTGAGAAGAGCACCAGAGATAAGAAGAAATACAGATCGGTGTGTGAAAGTGTGAGATCCCGCTACCCCGATGTTTTGGTTATTCCTTATGATACTCATATTGATGTGATAGGGAGTTCTTCTGCAGTTTTTGAATTTACACAGGAAGTGAACAAAAAGATTCAGAGCCCGTTTCAAAACAGGTAGAAAGATAGCATTCATGTGTGATGCACATTGCGCTTGTAGTGAGCTGTTCTGGTGCAAACCTTCGTGTCACTTCAGGTCTGCCTCATTTCTCTGACACGCAGTCTGGGAATGCTGCATCAGGATGAAAAAGCCCATTCCTCCCCAGATACCAAACAAAGTTCAGAGCAAGGAACAAATGATCTTTGTATCTCTGGTGAGCTTCAAGATGGAAGAAATGAAGTTTCTTCCGTCCAGACAGAGACACATTCTTCCTTTCATTTGCTGCATTCTGGCCACATGCACTCTTGTCTTGCTGTCATGGAGCTTATGATGTGAAAAGAAGAATTTTTGAAGATTTTTCATTAGCATAAGAAATGGTAACTGTAAAGCTGGGTGAACCAACCTGGTATGAAATCCTGCACAGAAGTTCACGTGTTTCTTTGTGCAGGGAGATGACCACCAAAGATAGGACTGGTGGCTTGCTGCTGCTGCCCTTATCTGCAGAAGAAAGCTCTTGTTGAGATGCACAAAGGTAGAACTTTAGTACTTGAGAAGATGGAATGCTTGATAAATCTGTAGGCTTCTCATGTCCTGAAAAAGGCCTTGAAAGCCGGTGCCAGAAGTTCCTGAGAGAAGAAACTGAATTTGTCTTTGTAGGAGCAATAGCAGGTTTTTATCCAGTAGTAACAGCAGCTGCAGCATCCCTGGACAGCATGTTACTTAGACATGGAAGTACATCCATAATTTTGATGTAAAATCTTGGCACATTTAAACTTTTAAATCATACTCTATTTATACAGTTCTTAGGCCCAGTGTGGGAATAGTTTTTCTGATCTCAATCATCTAGTGGTGTAGATACACCAGATAGGAGCAGTCCCTTTTTTTTTCCTGTGCAAAACTGATAAGTTAATGCAATAACTGGAAGTTGTAACTGAGAACAGGAACACTTTTATCCTATTAATGCTTTCCAGTTGTGTTTTCCAGACCATGTCAGAGGTTCAGACTGCGGAGATGTCTGCCATCTCCTGTAGGACAGGGCAGCCTGATGAAGACTTAGTGTTAATTACTTTCTAAATTGAATGCCTTAGAACACTGAATATTTCTTTTGTTAGCAGCTGTACACATTTTCAGTTTTTGATAGGTCGAGGTATGCATATAGTTTTAAACAACATCCTTAAGTCTACTGTTTGGACTTGTGTCTGCCTTGCCCTTTGCTTTCATTTCTAGAGTTAAGTGCCTGGAGTTAAAACTGAGTGCTCACTACAGAATTCCATCTGATTCACGCATTAAAATGGAGTGCTGTAAAATTTCAGCCTCATTCACTGAGATTGGGGATCAAGGCAGTCCCCAGGAACGTGACAGCTTAGAGCATGTGTTTTAAAGTTAAACCTTTTCCATGGAGATCCATTATTAGTCCAAATGTGCACCCTTTTGTGATCTTTTTAGAAAGCCAAGTTGAAAGTGTGTTTTGTGATTTCAGAATGTGCAGATTGCTAAGACTTACAGACCATTAGTTCTTTTACAGGAAAACCTTATGAAATTGAATTTATGATCCTATTAAAGAAATGTGTTTCAAAATGCTTTGTGTTCTTTAAGCAACTCCTAGACTTTTAGTTGGAAGCTCATCATGCTTAAGGCATTTTCTTGTCGTGACTGATTACCCACTGCAGTTATGCCAACGAAAGATAAAAGTGGTTAAACTAGTACCAGTGCTGTGTTTTAAAATACACTGTCAAAGTGGGAGGATGATGAGCTGAAGTGATGTGCTGAACTGGGAGGGAGGAGTGCTTAAAGGCTTATATCTATGCCAGATTCCAGTGTAGCAGTAGTACATGCAGAGGCTGGAGGGAGGCAGGGCAGAGTGCCCAGAGCCAGGTCTGGTAGGGCCCCTCCTGCTCCCCACTGACCAAACCTTGCCCTTTTTTAGTGCTCCCCACAGAGCTTAAGCAAGGATGGGATGTTTTTTGACCTCATAAAGGAGAGAATTCTCCATGAAGGTCAGACCTTTAATGAAATGAGTTCTCTTTTCTAATGTCCGTGCTGACCTTCCATTCTCCTTTCTGCAGAGTCTCGGTGTTGGAGTTTTTGATTCCTAGAGTTTCCTATGCACTTGCAGAAATGCTTAGGGCTCATAAACCAGCAGCACTGATCTCGGTCAGAATACCAGCGGGTCAGGAAAGGGCTGAACTCCATCCATTGAGTCAACTTTGACAGCAGCACTGGTAGAGGTACTGCTCACTTCTTGTTGTCTGGGTTTTAGGACAAAACCTCAAAGTCCTTTAAAGACTGCAGTTGAATAAAACTTTTATTGCTGTTTTACAGCAGTTGTCACAGCTCCTCTTCAGATTCACTGGTCCATCAGCCCATTGTCAGCTGAGCATTCGGGCCACCAGGTGCACTGCCACCAGCACTGCCTTGTTTCCTGGGGTGTCTCATCTGCTGCCTCTGGTCCCATACCTGGATGTCATTTCTTTAGAGTAAATTGGGATGTGAGTCCATTTTGGACCAGCACATACCATCTATTGTTATGCTCCTGATCTCTGGGGCTGCTAGTTTAAGTGGGTTTTGCAGCAGCACTGCATTGGAATACCTCACTTTTCTCATCTCTGGTGGTTCCTTGTGGCCTAGCAAGGGCAGGGCTCAAAGCAGGCATCCCACACAGGGTCAGTGCTGGTAGCCAAGGGGCTGTGGTACGTGCTGTGACTGCCTGAGCTGCTCTTTTAGATGTAATTCCACGGAGCAACCTTCTTTTTCAGCAGGTGAAAACATGCATTGTGGTCCACCAGGATAGAGCAATGTTTGCTGTAAGATATAAACAGCGTTTCAGCAGAATAACCTTGTAAGTGAAATGTATTCCTTCCTTCCATCATAACGCAGTCGCTGTGAAAAAAAAAATAGATGTTCAGCAAAAAAAAAAGGAAGTTTGATTTTATCCTTAGTGTGGACACATAAGCAAATACAGCAAAGCAGATTGGTGTTAGGTCTGGTAAGAGGCTTGCCAGCTATTATTCTCACAGTCACTTTTTATGGCGAGCAAAGCACTGTTATAACTTGAGCTCCACTCAAAAAAGGGATTTAATATTTGTGTATATTGCAGAATATCTGGGAAAGCATATCAGATGCAATTCCTAGATCTAAACCATCAGTGCTGACTCAGTATTCTCAGCACCAGATTTGCACTTTTAATTTGAAAAGAGAATTCACTCCTGGGACCTCAACAAAATATTTGTCCTTATTGCTGTGCCGACGCTTGCTGCCCTTTGCCAGATGGGGAAATGTAACAGTTCATGGAGTAAAAAAATACAACGCCTAATTTTGTCTGAAGGCACAGTTCTCACTGACATTAAGACAAAGCCTTAACGATAAAATAAAATAAAATAAAATAAAATAAAATAATCAGCCACAACAACCAGCAGAATCAGCCCTGTTCCTGGCAGGGCAGCACCGCACTGTGGTCAGTGGGTAACCGCCTTTTTGTGTTGTCTGGAAACCTGAGTGCTAGAGAGAGGATTTGACATCCCTTAGGGGGAAAATATTATACAGTTTGGTGGAAAAGCAATCTCACTGCTGGCCTGAGGGGGTGGGGGAGGCAGACTTGATTTACTGGAGTGCTTTTGCCATCGCTGATGCAAAGCTCTGGTGTGGCCGAGGGAGGACAAAGCCTCTGTTACTCCCCATTGTACCTGCACATGTAATAGTGCAGTGTGAAAGGTGCCTGCAAAGCATGTGGGAAGGGGGCTGGTTGGTATGTTGGAAGATCTTTCTTGCAGGTATAATTGTTGTCATCCAATCTGTCTCGGCAATGTTTGAATCGCACTGAAACTTGCTCTATGCATTTGTTCAAAAAAAAAGAATCCAACACCTACTACAAAAGACCTGTCATGCTTATTGAAAGGCTGCAATGCCAGAAAGACATTTTCTGACGGAAGAAGTGCTGCTTTGGGGAGACATCTTATTAAATACATACATACAGGTACGAAAATTCAACGACTGATTCGTCAAGACGACTGTCAGCCTCATCCATCTCCATCTGGCCACCCCGGAGACCCAGAAGCATGACAGTTGTGATGAAAGCATGCCATGGCCATCAGCCAGGGGCGAGCTGGGGTGGTTGGTGAGTCAGTGTGGGGTGGATGGGGATGCACTCCCACTGGGACAGGAGGAGATGAGCTCGGCACTCTGTGCATCCGGAGGCGCTGAGGCTCTCACTTGGCTCCGGTCCGGCCCTCAGGAAGCTCCCACAAGCAAACACACACGTTCCTGTTTTGTTGAACATCTTGTGCAAGAGAGGAAAGCAGCTGTCGAGCAGGGCCAAGATAGCACTGAAAAAATTCCTCTCTGTTGCTCAACATTTCCGTGGTGATTTTGTCCGTCGCATTCAGAGAGGCTGATGGGTGTTTACAGGATATGTGGCTTCTCTCCAAGCTATCACTGCTGACTGCTTGGCTACACGCAGGACAACATCTATGAGTGTGGCCCAATGTCATTCAAAATATCTCATTTTTTGGCGTTTGGGTTTTTACCCTTCAATCTGCCGCAGATGCTGACAAAAGGACCTTTTCCATCCCTCTCTTTGGTCAACTCTGCACAACGACCTGGAGCTGCTGGAGCCCCGTCTGGTTGTACTTACTTTTTCCCTTTCAGAATGTCCACTGGAAAACAAGTCTCTTTCTGCTTTGCCTTGCATAGCTTTCCTTCGTCTCCTGACACCCATTAATGACCTGCAGAAAAACATCTCAGAGTAACTGAGTGAAGAAGGAGTACTGCCTCTAATGGCAGCAGCTGCCGCTGAATTTAAGCCATTTTTCAGGTGGATTTCCCCTCCCATCACTGCTACTGCCTGTTTAATGGCTGTAGTACAGAGCAGGACCAGCCAGGCCAAGTGCTTTACCCAAATAAAATGTGGTATGAGATGCTGGAAAAACAAAGTTCTGCTCTCTTTGTGCAGCTCAGGGATGGAGAAGCCATCCCGCATGGCCCTGCTGGTGCTGGGGCTGGCACTGCAGCCAGTGAGCAGCACTGGTGCACGTCCACGCGCTCAACTTGTACTTCAGACATGCTTTAGAAAGCTTTTTTTTAAAGCCTTTCATTTTGGTGTGGATACCAGCAAATCTCTCCCAGCGTTACAGTAAAGCAACCTCTCTCTTTGGCGTTGCAAGCAGCCGTGCCCTGCGTGCTGGGACTCTGCAGAAATCCATCTCTTTTAGCACCGTCTGGAGCTTCTCTTTATGAGCAGATCACTCTTGCACGGATACAGCCAGTTCTTAACAACTGGAAAACTGTAATGCACACAGTAAACACCACCAGAGAGCTCTTTTTCCCCCTCTAAGTTACACGAGCACTTCCCCCACGAGCTGGGGGATTTGGCATTTCTCTCGGGTGTACTTTACATTTTCCAAACTTTCTGAATAACGCGTTGAGAGACTTAAGCATCTGCACTGCCAAACGAAATGAGAGAAGAAACGGTTCTGCGGGCTCATTAATGCCTGGCACTGACAGGCCTGGAGGGGCTGTGGGTGTATTTACATAGGGCAGAAACAGGCCTGCGGGGACGAGCTCTGCTATTTACATAGGGAAGAGGGCTTCCTTTGGGGGGGCTCATTTAAATGCAAGCGGCACAGGAGCTGACAGCAGCCTTCATTCCATACAGCTCTATCTGTGCTTCCAGCAAGAGGCCTGAAAATGTGGTGCTTCGTGCTGCGTTTGGAGCTGTTTTGTTCAGGCAGGTGGGCGATGCCTCTGCTGGCAGAGCATCCACGGCCTTCCTTACTGTGCACGGTGTCCAGGTGAGTGGCACTGATGGCAAATTTCAGATTTGCCCTGGATTCTGGCTGCTCTCTGTTAGCTCTGATGCCTGTCTCGCAGCTTTGGTGCTTCTCCTGGTCTTGCTCATGATGCGCAACCAGCATCATTGATGCTAGTGTGCAAAATAGCCCTTGTGCCTCCTGTTTGCACACAGGGCTTGCTGTGATCATGGACCAGTTAACACATCTGCTCGCCTAGCAGCCCTGTGCTCACAGAGATAACACAGCAACCTGGCTGGTCCCTTCCAGCTCTCTCAAGCAGGCGTCCCGGATGGACAACCGCAGCTGAAACATAATTTAGTTCCTTTTAGACCATTTCAGGTGCCTGGAGCCTGTGATTGTTTCTGTATCTGATACAGACCTTTCCAATCAGGTGTGTGTGCTGCAGGGGCAAACGCTGCGTGCTGAGAGCAGCATTGAGCTAAAATGCTAAAAACAAGCATGCCAGAGACTTTGCAGTGAGCTGCATCTGTCTGCCTTGACACCGTTGTCTGAGCTGATCTCAAATCCTCAGCTTCATGCCAGCTAACATTTATGCTGCTGCCTCTGCACCAGCCAGTCCCATCCATCACCCTCCCAGCTTTGCACGGCAAACGCAAGCAGCAGTAAATAAAGAATTCCATGGGTCTCAACGCTAAAGAGTTAAGAAAGCACTGTGCTCTCCCCCAGGGGAGAGCCTATTGCAACTTGCAAACACTTGCTATCTGTTTCCAGGTGGTAATTAAAACAGTCACCCCCACCAAGATGGGATTACATCAAGAGGCTGACAATTTC